ACACACACACTCACACACACACAAACACACACACACACACACACACACACACACACACACACACACACACAATAACATACTTTATAACTGTATAGCCTACATACTGTATAAGGCACCGTTATGAGCATTTCTAAATAGTCAGTCACAAAGAGTCACAGTCAGCTCACAAGACACATTATCACTCTGCACAATTCTGGGTTAAATACAACAAAAACAACATTTTTGGTAGAATCACACCCATTTACTTTCAATTATCCAAGAGCATGCCAGAAATGTTTATATAGTATTTAACCCAGAATATTACTTTAAATCACCAATGATCCTAGATCAGGCTTGTCTACATTCACAACTGAAAACAAATCTGATCACTACTGAAAACATATGATTTTAAATCAATTTCCTTGAAATTTGTTCTGTATTTTAAATCCAGGTTATATAGGTGTTGTCAATACACATTTTCAGTGACCAAAATTTGATGCTCCTACACTAAAAGCATTAGTCTCACATAAACAACCACTCAGCACACCTTTAAAGGGATTTCTTTAAAAAATCATCCATTTGACAGGGTCCATTTTGCAGTAGCATGTTCATGGAAAAATATACATGCATTGGTAGGCCAGTGAAATAGCACAAATCAACATCAGCCAAATAAAGTACTGTATGCACACATTATAGATAATAGGTAAAAATGTGATCAAAATAAAAACACAATGAGTATAAAAGCTAGTCCAAAGTAACAATGCAGCACTGGAAGAAACATCCTTTGCCAGAAGAAAAGAATTTTTGCAGCCAACATCCTCCCCTGCTGGCATCAATGGAAATGACATGGCTCAAGTAACTATATAAGGTAGAAGAAAATAAATAAATAAATAAATTAGTCACTAGCATGGTCTGAGACTAGTACAACTCCTTTATTTGCTCTCTTCGTTAATCACAATAACAAATGTGTTCATCTGCAAATACGTATCAAAGGTAGTTTGTGACAAAAAAGTGACCAAAAGTTTGACCGATACCTCATAATTAAAAATAAAATAAAATAAAATAATGGTTTTATATTATAGGATATTTTGGGGGGAGGAAACACATTTTGACTAAGACTTCATAAACTCTTTTTTTTTGTACTCTTCTAGGTTCAAAAAAACTGTCGTCCATAAAATGCGTTGCACAAATTCGAACATCTGGGTTGTGCTGTTCTGTTGTAAATAAATCTTAACCAATGATTCCTAATTGCATCTACTTCCGGAAGGCCAAATAAAGTGCTTTTGCTTTCGCACTGAAATACACAGCGTCTCCCTGACATGGCTGCATCAACACTACTGCTGTTCCTGAAACCACGCCTTCTTTCTTTGCGTGAACATTTGGGCGGCATTATGCTAATATTTCCACATAGTGACCTAGATATGTGGGGGCGTGTTAGAACGAGCCGTTTTAGGTAGGTGTGGCTGACTCTTAACTTTTATAAAGAATATCTCTTTGGATTTGAGACTTTAGTCTTTGCAACTTTACAGATCTTCTTTATGCACCAAGAGCTTGTAACACTCTAAAGAGAAAGGAAAACTTGAAATCGCATCATATGACCCCTTTAAGAGTCAAGCATAACTACAAAAGTATGATTAAAAGTTTAAAATTTCCGTATATTTCTAGGTTTTCTATGACCATGAGAGACCCTGGCCCCTGTCCGTGTTGTAAACATGTTGAGTAACAGTAGTACACTCACTGTTGTCCACTGAGAGATGACATTGTAATTCCGGGAACTGCGTCTCCACAGGAACACTGATGGTGCGACGCAGCAGTCTGGATTTGCAGGTGTCAGTCCTCTTCTTCTGTAGGAGCAGAGGGTGTATCTGAGAGCGGAACACATGAAAGACAAAGAAAGACACAATTGAGCACACATTCGCCTGCCTCTCATCTCATGATTAATATATTCCATCTGAATTGAACAGATTTAAGTCTGACAATCAGAGGCAGCAAGACAAAGAATTTAAACAAAACAAGCACACAGAGGGGCAGAGTATGAATATATTAATCAAAGGGCTTCTAGTGACTTAAATTACTTATTGAATATGTCTATGCTATTTCATATATAATGGCATGTCGCAAACATGTAAAAATAAAGCAGCTAAATATCATCATAGGGACATTTTTTTTTTATTCATTTACTCACTATTGTTAGGTATGGCAAAAAGTTCTATTGAGAAGAATACAGAAGGAGAAATAGGAAGAGAGAGCAGTTAAACTCTGGGGAATGCAGCTTCAGATCTGCCAATATGACCTTGCTCTCCTTCCCAGAATCATGTTTCCAGCACACATTCAACTCTCATGGTGTTATAATCAAACACTCAGAACGTGTATTCTCTTGAGTCTGTGTGCTTTTGTTATTACCAACTGTGAATTTGCCCTCAAGAAAGAGTCCACATTCAATTTCAGCCACAGCAATCTGGTTTACTGACAATCCAAACCAATTTAATGACACTGACCTTTTAGTTTCATAACCAAGATTTTTGCCAGATACTAAAAATATTTTAGGTCTGAAGTAAAGGTGGAGTGAAATTTGATACAAATTATTACTTTTCATATTAGCACTCGCCTGTAAGATGATTCTTTTCTTGACGTGTACTTTGGAGGGATCTGAATGAAATGAAACAACATACAGTGCTAAAGGGCTCTGCAGAAATGATATTTTGAAGGCTAAAAAACAATCAATCCAAAAGCCAAAACTACAACTTTTGCCTCAAACTCCTAATTTCTAAAACTCCTAATGCTGCTTATTAATAGTTAGTAAGGTAGTTGTAAAGTTTAGGTGTGGGGTAGGATTAAGGGATCTAAAATATGGTCATGCAGATAACACATTAATATGTGCGTTGTAAATGCTAATAAACAGCCAATATTATAGTAAAACGCGTGCTAATAAGCAACTAGCTAATAGTGAGAATTGCTCCTTAAAATAAAGTGTTACCAAATAAATAAATAATGATAAAACTAAAAGAAAACTTATGAATATCATTTTCAGAAGCCAAAAATGTGCAAAACTATGTTTTTACAAAAAACCACATTGTGGTACACTGTAAAGGACAATCTGTGATGGTACGGTGCCTCGGATCTTTGGTCTCGTAAATGGCTCACCTTGTGGGTATGTGAGTTTCAAAAGTGGAGCATGGATGGCCGAACAACGAAGCATCGTTCCACAGCTCACTGATTCCAGAGGGGAGCGGAGACTGTCACGCATTGTTCACAGTGACCGCAGGACCACAGTGCAACAAATCACCTGCAACTACAACAGTGCTGACCAGGGCAATGTGTCACAGCACACAGTTCATTGCAGCCTTCTGTAGTTATCATGGGGATGCAGCTGGGTAGTCGGCTATGCAGACACATGCGCAGAAGGCTGCGATAAACTCTATGCTGTGACGCATTGCCCTGGTCACCACTGTATTGCTGCTGGTGTTTTGTCACACTGTGGCCCTGCAGCTCCCTTTTGGCATCACTGAGCTGCAGACATCACATGGCTGGATGGTGTTTCTTTGTTTGGCCATCCGTTCTCCACTTCTGAAACATACTCACGCACTACAGCAACAGGTGAACAACCCACAAGGCAAGCCATTTCCCAGGTCTATGTTCTGAGGCACCGTGCAATCAGTTTGTCCTTCATCAAACTTCATACATTGGCAGCTTTTCCAATTCAGACACCAAGCACTCTACTGACTGAAAGCCGGTCCTCTGGTGGTGCCCCGCTCGTGAAGTCTCGCTGCTCCATTGGACGGATTTGACACGTGCTTCAGAACGCGGTCACGCAAGGGCGTTCCCAAAGCGAATCTCGACACAGCGTCTCGTTCCCTCGGGGAACCATGGTTACATACGTAACCTAGAGACGTTTCTGACCATGACTGGCATTATGATTTTGTTATTCCATGGGAAAAAATGCCAACAAGTTTTATGAGGAAGATTAAAAGTGGGGAAAGGCCGAGTTGCTCTGAGAGGAGACAGTTGGTTCGCATTGTTGCTTCTGAAATCCTGGAAGTCAGTAAATGTCCAACAAAAAAACATGTATCAGAAATAGCCCGAAAAATTATTATTGCATACCCAAAGTCCTTTAGAGATGAAATTAATTCCCAGATTGTAGGAAATGGATATGACTCTCTCCTTAAACAACTAGTCTGTCGAATTGACATTTTAAAAAGAGCAAAAACTTCCACTAGACCACTTTTGTTATATGCCAGAAGAGTCAAAGAAACGGAAATTGGAGTATGGTTGTATAAATTCAGAACCCCAGTTGCCAGTTGGAGAAACGCCAGAATTGCAACAGGAAAAAAAAGAGAAATTGCTTGAAATGTTTCAAAATAAGGAAAGCAATGTAAAGACAATCTACAGCTTGATGACTGCTACCTACACCTCCCAAAGAAATGACATCCAATCTGGAAAGGAAACCAAAGAGTTACTTGATGAGTGGCCATATCTTTTCCAGGCAGCAGGAATGAAAGCACACTTTAAAGAGCTCACTGGCATTGACGTGAACGACAGCTTTGAAGAAGCCACTACCAGTAAATTCAGAAGAATATCAGAGTACTTTCAGTTTCAGTGCACAGAAAGAGTAAGCAGAGCAGGGAGAATCCTCACCAAGATTAGGACTGGACGGGATCATGTTTGTGGGGCAGTGATGTTGCTGCTTGCCCATTTCAAAATGCTTTTCCAATTCAGACACCAAGCACTCTACTGACTGAAAGCCGGTCCTCTGGTGGTGTGTATATATACTGTGAACATCACCTGTGACACCGGCACTTACCACTCTAAGCTGGGCGTGGTCATAAGTGTATATAGTGTGGCTCAGCAGTGTATATAATGTCTTTAGAAGAAGCAGAAATTTGAGTAGCACTTCTTAGGAAGTGGGAAAGTGGTAGCTTTGAGTGTTACTGTAATTGCTGTATTTACTGTAAAGTAATTTGCAAAGAAAATGGGAATATTGAGAACTGAATGCTGCATGAAAAGTGGAATTATTGTTCATTCTCTAACATGTGGACATTGCTTTATCTTTTAGGTGACACTAGCTCTGAAACTTTGGTTTCTGACCATGACTGGCATTATGATTTTGTTATTCCATGGGAAAAAATGCCAACAAGTTTTATGAGGAAGATTAAAAGTGGGGAAAGGCCGAGTTGCTCTGAGAGGAGACAGTTGGTTCGCATTGTTGCTTCTGAAATCCTGGAAGTCAGTAAATGTCCAACAAAAAAACATGAAGCAAGCGTCCCCAACTAAGCAAGCCAAAGGCGACAGTGGCAAGGAACCAAAACTCCTTCAGTGAAAGAAATGGAGAAAAAACCTTGGGAGAAACCAGGCTCAGTCGGGGGGCCAGTTCTCCTCTGGCCATGAAACCAGTTAGTTAGTTTTTTCCCCATAGAGTAAACTGAATAAAAAGACAGCACTGTACTTTATATGAATAAAATTGTGTGTATATGTGTTGTGTTTGAACACATACAATTCCAGCACAATTTTCATTTGTGGAAAAAGACAACACTGTTTATTACTTTTATCAAAGGCACCTTTATACTCGCGCTACTCTAAATATTGACTAATATGCATAGTAATAAAAAATAAGAGAGCTTAAAAAAAAAATAGAGCTCTAGGCAAGTATATGTTAGCTTA